GAAATAGAAGGAAATGAGAAAGAAAAGGAAAGAGAGAAAAGAAGAGAGGAAATGACAAAGAAAAGGAAGTAGAAAAAAAAAAGTACGAAAAAGAAGAAGGAGACGAGAGGCAGAAGAGAAAAGAAAGAGAGGAAGAAAGGAAAAGAAAGAGAGGAAGAAAGGAAAAGAAAGAGAGGAAGAAGAGAAAATGAGGAAAAGGAAGAGAAGTGGTGATATATAAGGCTTATATGGACCGTTATCGGTCCGTATAATCCTTATTGGCGCGCCTCACCAAAAAATTTCAATTTTTTCCTAAAAAATTTCAATTTTTTCCTAAAAAATTTCAATTTTTTCCTAAAAATTTTTGGCCCATCAATAATATTCGAACCGAAATCGGTTCGAATATAAATAAATTAGCGTACAATTAGAAAGATTCAAATTTATGGTAAAAATTTGGCATATAAATTAATTACGAACCGATTTCGGTCCGTATATGTATTAAGCCTACAAGGGATCACATTAACTTATTCGGACTGATTTTGGTCCGAATATGTTGGGAAAAAATCCACATGGCACATTTTTATTCTTTTCATTTAAAGACATCACCATTTTCTTGTGTCCTCAATCCATTCCTGCGAAAACTAATTGCATGTACATCGACCCTACAATCCCTTAGAATCACGAAAGCATCGATTGTCTACATAAAATTATCTTACAATGGTACGGAATAAGATCGTTACAAAACCACGAATGTATAAGTTTCAAGTTATTAGAGATAATGTTACGTAATGCTCTTTCGAAATCACGAGCAAATAAAATTCTTTTTTTTTTTCTTAAGGTTAATTACTTTGGCTTGCAAACATTCGGAATTTTACGTTTTAAAACGAGAGTAGAATGACTTAAACACGAAATAACAAAAAAAATAAAAAGCAACTGTTCAGGGCATATACGGACCGATATCGGTCCGTATATCTGTATACAGACCATCATCGGTCCGAATATAGGCACTCCGAGGGAATTTTTAATTCTAAAGCTAAATTAAATTAAGTATGAATATATATACGGACCGGTTTTGGTCCGAATATACTAGAAAAAATCCAGAAACTTCTCCCAGTGCACATTTTTATTCTTTTCATTTAAGGACATTACCATCTTATTGTGTCCTAAATCCATTCCTGCGAAAACCAATTGCATGTACATCGACCCTGCAGTCCCTTGGAACCACAAAACCATCAATTGTCTACCCGAAATTATCTTACGATGGTATGGACTAATATCGTTGCAAAACCACAAACGTATAAGTTGAAGGATATTAGAAATAATGTTACGTAATGCTCTTTTGGAGCCACAAGCAAATAAAATTAATTTTTTTTGTTAAGGTTAACCACTTTGGCATGCAAACATTCAAAATATTACGGTTTAAAACGAGAATAGAATTACTTAAGAACAAAAAAACAAAAAAAAAAATAAAAAGCTGCTGTTCAGGTGTATATATAGACCGATAACGGTACGTATAACTTTATATGGACCGGTATCGGTCTGAATATAGGCATTCCAAGGTTTTTTAATCCTAAAGCTAAATTAAATTAGGTATGAATATATATA